CCTCTATTAAAGTGATTTGCTGGTTCCCTTTTATTTCACACCTTTGGTGTGTTCCTAAAATGAAATATTTTGGAGCTTAAGTCCAGCTGACACAATGATAGGAACCATGAATTTTGTTGCAGTTGTTGATCACTAGTAGCCTTGTGATCAAGGCTTGTGATACTGTGCTTGGAGAGGTACATGCCCTAAATGAATGCTCAGTCTTTTTTCCTCAGGATAACCTAAAAAAAAAAGGACAGACTAGAGGACAAGTTTCTATGGTGTTGGCTGGTAGCAATTCTGTCTGCTCGTCTTTTTCAGGTGAGGCACCTACACCAGGATGGAGGAGCTGGGAAAAGACACGTGGTTCCACCTTACCTGGTCCTCAGTAGCAGCCAAATCAATTTTTGGATTCACTCCAAGAGCTGTAGTTGTTCCAGATAGCTTTGCTATCTGGAGCTAGCAAGACAAGAAGTGGCCAGTTGTTCCTGTAACCTGCTTTGAGTCCTGACTGGTGTTGGGATGGAAGGGAGGTGAAGTCAGGAGCAGGAAGATGCACAGGTATGTGATGCTCTTTTAGTTGGGACCAAGCCTTTGCTTCTAGGCCTTATTTCAAATCCTCCTGGGTCAGTTAACATCATAGGTGTTTTCATGGCTCCTTGGAAAGCTGTCCAAACTAACAGATGGGGTGCCTTGGCACAGTTCCCAGTCCCCGTGCAAGCCCTGCTCTCACAGCATTTGAAATGGGGAGCAAAAAGGCTGAATCCTGAAAAAAATTGCTTGTGCTAGGCAGGGGTGAGAGCTGGGCTGGGAAAATCTGTGTGTAATTAACTGGGGATTGATGGCTAAACCTATCTATTTTTATTGCTACTGAATGGAAATGGAAGGTAAAGCCCCTGTAACTTGCTGATTGAGTGGCAGTTGGAATGCCCTGGAGCTGTGTGTGTGCCTCAGTGGAGCACAGCTGGTGAGGGCACTCACTGCTGGCTGGGCTCTGCTCCTCCCTGCCCTTCCTGCCTGCAGTGCTCCCATGTTTCCCGTTCAGACCCCAGGTGGTGGTGTTGGATCTGAAAGGAGGAAATGTGGGGCAGGAGAAGCTCCAGGCGCTGTGAACAAGGCCAGTGCTGTGGCAATACTAAGGTGCTCTATGCAATCCCTTCCTTTCTGTGTTGACAGGGCTGTAGTCCAGCTGTCTCCTCAGAGTTGCCATTCCTTTCCAAACATACTTGCAAACTGCCTGGCTGGCTGGTTAGTTGCTATGTAAGAGATGATTTGAAAACTATTCTTCCCATCCAGAAGTTGCATCATGTTCAACTTAAAAGGCTTCTATCAAAGTTTGAACTGAGCTATAGCTAATGTGGCACTCAATGCTCAGAGCCAGCGTGCAAGGTCTGCATTGGCTTTGTTTTGGAGCACATTCAATGACTGCTTGAAGGCAGGCATATCTGCACCACGAAAAGCAGGACTTTTCTTCAAGGACTTACTATTAAGATCATGTTGCTGTAATTAAAAAAAAAAGCCAAACCAAAAACCCCTACCCTTTCAAAATGTGTCAGCATTAATTTATGGCTTCTATACATACATATCTCTGAAATAATTTTAGTTATTTATGTTACAAAGGGTTGATTAATGTTATGTGACTGAACATGTGGAAGAGGTACAAGAAATTTCTTTTTCTTAAGTGTCAGCCTTGGACACTCAGCATTTTCTTTCAATATTCAAAAAGAAATTTAATTTTAGCTTTTTGTGATACTCACTGGTAATTAACTGCTCCATGTACTGCATCTTATTATGCTGCGGGCCTGAAGATTTTCTGTTGGAAACAAAAATCGATTTCAACAAATTCAGTTGTTGCCATCTTATTAGGTTATGGTACTCAATGTAAATTAAAGTTTTGAATTTGTCATCAATCAATAGATGCAATTATTGATTTGGGATGTATGAGGTAAAAAGTGAATAAATAAGTTTTTGTCTTTGTTTTTATAACATGAAAACATGTCAAAATTTATTGAGCTGCAAGTTACTTTGTTCAGTAGTGAACCTGAGGCAGAATCAGAAACTCAAGAGTAATAGTAGTCTATTTATTTCTTGGGTTCTGCAGAACTTTCTTAAAATGCTGCCTGTCTGGCATCCTGACATTAAAAAGTTTGTTTAGAAGCCTGGGGTACAAGGATTGGTTGGCTGGCTGATGCCAGGGCCCAGTGCCCATCCATGGATGTTGTACACAGGCAGACCCAATGCCCTTCAGAAATGGATGTCTCTGCACAGAAGGCTCCTCGCAGTGCTCATTGGATCTGGAGGTGGGCAGAAAAGAAGTCTTCCTCACTGGAGGAAACTGAAAACAATATGGAGCTAATAACGCTGATACACCCCGTGCAAATCAGTACAATCTTCTGGATTGGAATGAAAGCATTGTTCCCAGAGTTTGGACTGGATGTGCCATTCCTAGCTTGCCTCCAGAGTGTGGATGTGCCATTTCTAGCTTGCTCCCAGAGTCTGGATGTGCCATTCCTAACTTGCTCCCAGAATCTGGATGTGCCATTCCTAACTTGCCTCCAGAGTGTGGATGTGCCATTTCTAGCTTGCTCCCAGCACGTGGATGTGCCCCCCTTGCTCAGGGCTGGCTGTTTGGTGTGGCTCAGATGAAGCAGTGTGACAAGGCTGTCACTGCGTGTCCCTGGGGGAGCTGAGGGGCTCCTCGGTGGTTTGTGCAGCAGGATGAGTGTGCTCAGCACAGCCTTGCTCAGTCTCTGTCCTGGGTTATGTACCTCAGTATTCTGACTTGCTCTTGCTTAAACAAAGGTGCCTACAATCTGAGATCAGCAGCGTTGCCAGTTTCTCTGCATTAATAAATCATTTTTAATTTAAAGGGCTTTGAGGGTTTTGGTTAAGTGTTGCTATAGGAATGTTTTTCTCATCGGGAATTAGCAGTATTAATAAGAGTTGAGAAAATGCAATATTTCGTACTGCTTTCATGGTCTTGGGCTGCTGCATTTAAACATAGAGAGGAAAAAAATCAAGAAGGGTTGATTGAGGACATAGCTCACTTGATCAGATGGATACCGACCCCAGCTGGCAGGAAACCGATTAAAATAAAAGACAAAATAGATAGTTTTGTCAGATGGAGACCACATTCCTGTGGGACATGAGAGGATTTATATCAATCACAGCAGCAGTAACTGCAGGTTGTATGTCGCAGGGCCTGTGCAAATACCATGGTTTGTGACTCTATCATATATAGGTGGAAATAGATACAGATATTGTGTCAGAGTCAGTGGTATCAGAAGGGAAAGTGTATGAACTGATGTGCTAGAGCTTGGTAGATGTTTAAGCTATCGAGGCAGATTTGAGGAGGTATCTCTGAGGTTTGCTGTATTTTCCAAATAGAAAAATGAAGACAACACTCTCTTCCAGTTCCCTAGTCACCTAGTAGCCATTTATCGCATTAGGATGACATAAAAATCAGTGTTTTGGAATTGAAGTGACTTTTAAAACCCAAGACTCCCTGGGTCCTTGGCTGCTGTGTCAGGTCTTTATTATCCTGCTGCTGTCAGAGGTGGTTGTGTGCAGTTTCTGGACACTAGAGAGACTCATTACTGGTGTGAGGGTTGAGTAGAACTTCACAGTGAACCCAGGATTTTACTTTTAAATGTGGTGACACAGTCCAGCCCACTTTGTCTGTGCTCACTGCTGGTGGACTGGTGCCCAGGTTCCCTGGAATTGTGGATACAGACACCAAGACTGGCTTGGATTTCCTGTTCTTTCCAATAATTTCTTTGATCAAATTCAGCAGGATTTCTCTGGTGTGGCTGCAGAGAATTGTGCTTCTGGTACCTAGATGTTGTATCAACATTGATGTAGGACTGACAGTTCTTTGTCCAAGTGGGAGGCCTCATGTTTACCTGAGCTGGGTAAAACCACCAAGAAGCAGCAGAGAACCTGTTCTCATACATGAGGGACTCGTGCAGCCATGGCAGCAGCGAGGGTAAGAACGAACTGGTGTCACTGCAGCTTGCTGGGGTCCCTGGCTGTGCCTGCAGGGTTTGTGTCAGGCCCTGCAGGAGAGCAGCAGCCTGGGGCTCAGAGCTGGGACACTGCCCTGCTCTGCTGTGTCTCTGGGACTGCAGCGAGCTCCTTCCTCTGCAGACTGTTGTTTCCTCTGCTAAGGTCTGTTCGTGCTGTGTATTTCCTTTAGGGGTAGGATGGAGCGTTATCTCTGGGTTATGGCAGCACTAAGCGATGTGGGCTATGATGTTGTGTGGGGTCTCAAGGTGCTGCTGTAATATTAATGAGAATCTTGTAAGAAGATTCAATGTCTACAGCTCTTTCCAATTCATGGCTGCTCTGAGTAGTTCACAGTATTAGGACCTTAGCTATATATAAAAATAAGTAATTTATTTGCTTTCTATTGAATAAATGACATGCTGGTGGAATGATTAATGAATAAGAAATCACGAGTGTCACTGGCACACAAATGGAAATCATCATTCTCTTAACAAATTTTTTTCTAGTTAGGTTTAAGTTTCCATTGGGAATTACAGTTTCACTAATTCAACAAAACCACCTGATAAATAACTCATCATTTTTTATAGATGTCCATTAAATAAATCTATATTGAAGTACCAAGAAATGACACTTGTAGAAGAAACATTGCTGCAAATAATGAGAAAATTGCAGACGTATTTTATACCTCTTCTGAAAATCAAAAGGTCTCATAAATACAGTCTGTAAAAATGTCTGTGGAAGAGTTAACATAACTGTACAAGCAATAAGCCTGACCTTTCAGTGTAATTTATTTTAGATTTGCTCAATCCTTTTTTATTAAAACTAGCACATCTGAAGCAGAATTAAATCCTATTATAGCAGCTCTGTGATTGTATCAATTTTTCTCTGCCATGGCACACTTTATTAAAAATTACTTTGTTTCATGTTGGTTAATGCAATCAGAGGAGTAAATGAAGTTTTGTGGGTTTTGGTAAAGAAAGAAGCGTGTGGTTTCTATATTTGAGAGCAGTGTAAATTGCTGTGAGGATCAGCTGAGTTCCAGCCCTGCAGAAATCAGTTCAGGTATTTCCTCTGGTGGTGAGACCCAGGTTCCCATCCTGTGCCAGTGTCTGCAGTGGTCCAGGGACCAGGTTACACAGGACCAGCTGCATCAGATGTTTTTGTCTTAGCAAAAATATTCCTGTAAACTAGATACCACATCTGTTTCTGCCTCTTTCACAGTTCTGTGTTCAAATGCAAAATCACAGTTCCCACCAGTGCAGCCTGTTCTGGCTCCTGTTGCCTGAGATGGCTCAGCTGCACCTTTGATCTGAACAAGGATGTGAGCTCACAGGCATCCCCTGCCCGTGTTTCACCCCTCTCTTTCAGAGGAGTGGTTGTCATGCTGGTGTTGGTGTTTGCTCCAGCAGCTGTGAATGTGCTCCTGTATTTGCTGTCCTTGTGTAGGTTTTACTTGCTAGCTTTGTTCCCTCAATTTCCTGCAGTGCAGCATTGGGTTGGATTGCAAGAAGGGGATTTAGAGGGAGCCAAGTATTTTTTTGTGCTTTAAAGTCTGTCTAGTGCTTTCTTTTAACTGACCAAGATCTGCAGCACTTTGGAGTATTTACTGCTCCTATTTAATGGGCTGTTTACAATTTCAGGACCAGCCTCAGTAGCCTTGTGGAGAATATTTCCATGCTGATGACATGTTTACAGTGAATAATAAGAACTGACACATTTTGTGTGCACAGGTTAATGCCCCCAAATCAGGTACTGTAAATTGTTGTGGGTGGGCAGCTGGTACAAGAACCTGTTTTGCTTTTATAGAGCATCACAGCAAGATCTGGAAAACACATTAGTTAATTTCTTGCTTCCTCTGCTCATTGCAGGCAAAGTGCAAGGTCTCCTTTTTCCTCCCCTCTCCTGTCTCATGTGCATGGACTGGGGGAAGAGGCAGGGCTAGAGCTACCCTGAAGGGATGCTCTTTGGGGAGATGGTGCCCAGAACAGCCTTGGTGCTTTGAGGATCACAGGGGTGTCAGCAGCGTGGCTCAGGAGGCTCTGAGGCTGGTGGGGTGCAGCAGCCACCCCCCGATCCCCTGTCCGTGTGTCCCCTTCCCTCCCAGCCCCGCAGAGCTTTCACTGCCCTGGGGCTCGGCAGAGCAGGCAGCAGGAGTGCTCTCCCTGAAACAAAGTGTCTCAAGTTCTGGCATTTAAAACCGTGTTTCAATTTGGGAAATCTCAAGTAGCCTTTTGCTTTTAAGGTACATTAAGTCTGTTATGTCACAGGTGTAAAAGTAACTCAATATTCAGATCAGGAAGGGAATGAGACCTCTGGGCAGTGTTATTGGTGGGGTGGGATTACATAAAGGAAAAGTGGCTTATTGCTTATTTCCATCTGCCCACAGCAGACCTTTCCAGGTGCAATGTGTTTCATGTGGTGCTTCTGGAAATGCTTCAAAACTGCAGTCTCCTAGGCTTTGGGTCTGAATATATTTCTTTTAGAGAAAGCCACATATCTGCAAATAGGAAGAAAAGGAGAAACTTCTAGATGAGAGCAGCCTGTTCCTCTCTGCATCAAATCTGAGTTATAACTGGTTCTTTTGGATTATAAATGCTACCTTCAGCATTCACTTGGAACAATTTTAATTCTGGTGACAAGCAATGAGCTAATAAGCCCCAATGTCAAGAAATCCTTTGTTTTGTTACTGAAGAACTGCATTACAGCCAGCTCAAGAGCAGACTTTCCTTCATGGAAAGGAAACTCAGGGTGCAGGAGGGTTTGCTGCTCACTGCACTTGCCTCACCACTGAGACAGTCAGTAGTGTTAACTTGAAGTGAAGGCACAACAACAAAACTCATTTCACATAGGCCATTGAACATTAGACATTACAAAAATCTTCTGTCCCTACTTCCAGATGGAACCTGAACCAGTGACCTGGAGGTGAAATGCTCTCCTGCAGTCCTCTGGAGCCTGCAGTGTTTCTGTGCATCCCACAGAGCACTTTTTCTGCATCAAAAAGCAAATTAATCTGTCACTGAGACTAATCCTACTTGTCTCAAGCGTAAACACAATTTTTAAATGTAGAGGGGCTATTTGAGATAATTTTTTACATTCTGAGTCAGAATATCAGAAAAAATGTTTGCATCTATTTTGTTAAGGTTTTTTTCTCTGAAAGTTGAGTGACTACTTTTGACCTAGGTGGTTTTTATATGAGGAAAAAAGGTGGACAACATTAATAGTATAAATAATGATGCAGAAGCCTTTCACTTCCAATGGGCAATATTTTTTTTTTTTTTTGTTTGTTTGTTTTCTGATTTGGAAATGGGGTAGACAGAATATGTGGTTTATGCCAGCAGGTGGATCCATCTGTCATCCCAATCACTGTGGGCTTTGCTTCTCTTTCAGAATTGAGTAATCCCTTCCAGGCCAGGGAAGACTTGGAGAAGTGGACAACTAGAAAGGCAGCTGCAAAACTGCAGAAATCTTTATTTTTGCAAAAAAACCCAACAGTTTTCAGCTTTCTTGAACTCTTGACTCTCCAGTAATTCAAATGAAGAGGTACTGGTCTAGTACATCAGCTAACCTGATCTTGTACTGATTATAATCCACAGCTGACCTGCTGGGACACCTTGTCTGGTATGGGGTCTGTGGCTGAGGGAGATTTTGTGAACACAGCTCAGTTTCAGTGCAGCTCCTGAGCAGACTATTAGACAGTGGCTCACTGCTGAGGGATCCCATCTTCTGATGTCTCTGGACAGCACAGGAGGGTTTGTATTCCTGTTTATATACAGGAACACAGGAGTTGTTTATATTCCTGTAGTTTCTATCAAATTCCAGTGACATGCATAAAAATAATTAGTGAAATAAATACTCAGGTGTCGATGCTCTGGCAGGAGGTAGCCAAGGGAATCGTCTGTGCAAAAGGATGATTTAAGTTGAGAGCATCTACAGGGATAATTGATGCCAAATCTACCATTACTATGGATTTGGGCATAATTAATTTGGATGAAAATAAAATACTTTCATCAAAAAGAATAAATTGAAGCATGGCAGGTAATTCAAGAGTCAGAAGCCTTTATCAAAGATGTTTGAGGAAGGTGTTTTGATCCTTCTATGCTGATTATGTGACTTGATGCACTTGCTCTGTTTGGTTTGCACTACAGTTGGGGACAGACTCTGTACTACAAGAAAATTATCCTGACTCTCTCAGCATTAGGAAGCTTGTTTGTTGTGTTGTATTTGGAGAGCTCTACAGTGAAATGGCCTTTCTGACCTGTTACTATGTTGGGGAATTCATGTGTCTCCTTTACAACTCACTTTAAGATTGGCTTTTATTTCTGGATCTGCTACTAGTTTTTAAAGGCTTGTGTAGCCACTCTTTGTTCTAAGGCTTTGTAACTGGCTCTGAACTAACCTCAATTTCTTGGCATTGCCCTTTCATTGGTACATATTTTGAACCTCTTTCCCTTTACCCAATGGACTTGGCTTTTCTTTGACTCTGTTCCCTGCTTGCCCTGCAGGTTTTTTGTCTTCTATAAAGGGAAGCCCACTGCAGCCATGTGGTCCCCTAATCCCCTGGAGAACATGTGGCTCACCAAGGGTGTGTTACAGACTCAGCTACAGTGAAATCACAGATTTTATTCTTCCTCATGTGAATTATGGAGCTCTCCAGTTTGTATTTCCTGCATCAGCCACAGTGCTGGTTACTACTGGGTCCCCCACCAATGTTTTGGTTGTCTGGTGAGCATCCTGGGAAGCTGGCTCTGTAGGATGCAAAGCAACCTTACAGCTGCTAAATTAACACCTACTCTTTTATTTTGCAGGCTGGAGAGGGATAAAATGACTGTGGCTAAAGTGTAGGAGAGTTGACAATGGACTGATGTGGTGAGGAGGGGGCAGCCTTCCCAGCTCACTGCAGAAATGGCTGAGGTGAATTGAAGCCAGCAGCGTGGCATCTTCATCCTGATGGCCACTGGTGCAAACTGAGCACTCCAGGGAAGCAATGGGAAGGAGTTGCCCCTATAGTGTGCAAGATACTTGTTCACAGGGGAGTAAGAAACTAACAATATACTGGAAAACCGAGCGGGACAAAAAAGAATTTGAGAATTGGAAGGAAGAAGCAATTGAAAACAAATCTGTTCCAAGGTAAGTGTGATCTTCACTCTTACCATCTTCACTCTGCTTGAGGCTGTGTTTTCACCTCAGTTTACCAGCATTCTCTATGTTTTTCTGCAGTGAGTTGCTGACCTTTCACTTGATAGCACACACACCGAGCAAATGGCCCAATGCCTTCTGCTGAGCTGTGCCAGCCTCTCCTGGTCCAGGGCCTGCCCCTGTGCTGGGTTCAGGGGCCAGGCTGACTCCCTGCCAGCTGGCTGACTAGGGAGGCTCAAGAGCCCTGTTCTAGGGCACGTCCAGCACTGCAGCAAGATGGGAATGAGATTCACTGGGTGGGTGGTCTTCACTTTCACCATCAGCCCATAAATATGTCAGGTGAGTAACAGTGTGTTACAAAAATGTGTCCTTGAATACACTGGCAGGATGACTTTCTGCTAGAGTCCTCCAGAACAGGCTGAAAACACCACTGGCACTGCGGGAAATAATAAATGGGGATGGAAAGTGGCCAAAGGAGTGAGAGTACCATCCAACTGGACAGCCTCAGCTCTCCAAACAATCCAGCTCTGTGCAGGAATGGAAGCAAGCAGTGTCCACCCCTTCTGCTGAAGCTTCTTCTCATTAGAAGGTCACCAATTATTTCTGAGTGATCAGCAGAATTTCTTCCAGGCTGCATAAATTTAATGTGGCCTTTTGTTCTGCTGTGTGGCTACTTCTTCCAAGGGGCATCTCTTTATAGCTGGAGCAGATCATGGAGGTACCACTGCTCCAAGGAAAGGGGAGGAGGAGGAGGATGACTTACACAGATAGTCTGCCTGGGATTTAGATAGTGAGAGGCCAAAAGAAATTGTTTAAAGTCTGGCCTAGTAAATGAATTTAATCTATATAAACTCTTGATTAGAAGCTGGTTCCTCAGACACTAAGTGTCAGAGTGATTGCCTGGTACCACGTTCTATTTATGCTGATAGAGGAGCTGGCCCATATATATTTCCTTTTAAATTTATATTTTGCTGTTTTCTATTTCTGGGAAATAATTAAGGAGAACTAAGGCCACTTAGGGAACGCGTCTGTGTGAGGCTGGAGGAAAATCTAGCTGGACAAATCTGCTAGTTCAAATTTGTAGCTGTACTGAATTTGAATTAGGCCTTTCAAATATTTTGGTTTAAGCAAGCTGAAAAGGTAGGCTGGAGGAGCAGGACGGGGGGGAAACTGGCTTTTCCCTGTCTGCTGACATCCCCTTTTGTACTGTGCACATGGTCAGGCACTGGGTGACAGACCTGGATTTACTGAGAAATCGTCAATCCCGAGAGAAAAGGAAATCTGGGGTAAACACTGTCTTCACTCACATGTGGGTCAAGGATTTTCAGATCAGTATTAAAAGAAGACCAGTGGTGCCTGTGGGGAGAAGAGACAACACTTGAGTGTGAATTTGCTTCCCAAGGCCTGGAAGGCATTTTTCCTCTTGCTGAGAAAGAACTTTGAGGAGGGCTGTGCACAGTGCTGCTGCCTGGTCCCTCTGCTGCAGCAGGGCCCAGGGTCCCACAAAGCCACCACCTCACAGGGGTACCAGGAGGTGAAGATTTCAAATGAAAAGATTCTCTGAAGTGCAAACAATGTGCTTTATAAAACAAAGTATAAATTAGCTAAGGAGAAGAAAATAGCATCTGTTGAAAACAGATAAGTGAGGAGTGTGCCTGTGGATATCTGGGTAGATTTACCAAGGAGTCAATTAGAGTCAATTATCACCCTCAAACTCCTCACCCTGGGTTTTGTATTCTTGCAGTGTGTCCAATTCAGCGTGTGCTGTTTCATAGGTTCACAATTTTCTCTCTGTGTCTGAAATGATCTAGCTGGAGACACCAGGAAAGTGCCAAGCTTTAAGTATATGACAATTGTAATTCTTTTGACTGAAACCTGATTTGATTCAGTTGAAAATGACTTCAGTGTATTGGATTTACGGTTCATTTACCAAGTGCTGTAGATGTCAATACATTAGTGTAAACCTGATGCAGGTAGTAATTTGGTTTCTAATGAGGTTCCCCAGCAGTATCCAGCTATGAAAAATGGGGCATTCTTCATTGAAGCACAAAGTGCACCTGCCTGATGGCAGATGTTGTCTGAGGCCCTGCTACTTTCACTTTCTGGGAAGAGTGTGGTGTTATATCTTGCTGTGGGCTTTAAAAGTGCCTTAAACTGATAAAATGTTAAAAGAACAGATTGGAAAGAATAAAAGATTGCTCTTTAGAAGTTCTGTTTTAATTATAGGTTTAAATTACAACTTTATCTCTTGCAGTCTTAATTGTGCAGTTGTTGCAGATGCAAAATTTCAGCCAGATTTAATGGAACTTTAAAGAGGAACCTTTTATTTTTATGGGACTGTGTGATCAGGTGTTGTCCTTACCTCCCCACTGCCTACAAACCATTTCACTGAATGATCCTCCTGGTTTAGTATGGAAATAGGTGTAGTACAGAGAGGCCAGGACCAAGAAGGCAGTGATGTCTCCCTGTCTCCTGACCCTCCTCTTTCCTCTCTGTGCATGAGATAAGTTTCAGAAAAGCAGCTGTAAAAAATATTGCCCCCTTTCAAGGCAAAGTGTGTGGCCAAAAGAGTGTCAGGTCTCACAGTAGCTCAAAGTAGCTTTTAACCTTTGGGAGAGACCCTTCTATGCTGGGCAGCCCACAGGCACACCTTCCTTCAGCACCTGTGCTCAAAAAATGCTTTTAAATTTTTTACGTGCTGCCAGGTAGCTTTTGTTTCAGCATTAAGCTGATTTCTACAGGTTGAGACATCACTGATCAATATGAGGGTATTTGAGAGCCTGACCCCAGCAGACTGTGTTGATGTGAGTAAGGGTACAGAAGATATGTTCAGTCCTACACAAAGCGGCCTTTCACCTTCTCTCAATTCTCTCCATGTCTCAGCTGGAAATACAACTTCTTTTGCTCCTCTACTTCTTAATTTCCCTCCTTTGCTGTTATTTAGCTGCTAAGTGCTATGTGCTGCAGTAGATAATGGAAGAAGCTATTCAGAATGAAATGGCATGGCATTTTCTGCCCTTTTGTAAACGATATAAAATAAAGATGAACTTTTCTGCCCATTTCAGCCAAGGCACAGCTTGCTGTAGGGTGTTGGCTCTTTATTTTCCCCTGGATCATGTGTTAGGAGTGCTGTTCACAGCCTCTATGTAAAAACCAGGGTCTGGGGGACTGCTTGCCCATGGTCACAATTAAAAGTGTCTCTTTGGGGTGTGTCATCTCCAGAGAAGGAAGAACCATAAACTGAATTCATTAGCTGCAGAGAGGTGGCTCTGGGGTGATGTGAGTGCTCAGTGCTGCAAAGTGTCTGAAAAGACACTGCAGTCTGCAAATGCTGCTCTAGATGGGAGCCCTTAGGAAAATTATTCCAAAGTACCTTTTAAACCAAATGATCAGACTTGTTACTTCAGAATTTAAGTGACAAAAATCATAATAAGCTTTGTTTTCCCTTGGGAATTAGTAAGCCTCACTTGAATCAGGGGTACTTCTTAATTCTGAGTGAGAGTGTCCATATAAAGACTTCATGCAGTTTAACTGAGCCTTTCAGTCTGTGTTTTTTAGATCTGCTTAGTTTCCTTAACAGTGCACAATGGTCTAGGCAAATATCAAGTTTTGTGTTCCTCTGCTTCAGAGAGAATTTCTCTTCTGAGGTACTGATTTGGTAGCAGACAACAGCTGCCAAGCAGAATTTACAGGCAGGTTGTGTGTGTCAGTTTTATTGTCTCATTTTGTATATGCATGTTTAATGAATCCAGATATGATTAATAGTATGGGCATACCCAACTGCTAATCTAAAATCAGAAAAACTCACCTGATAGAGTCTCAAAAGGTGGAGCTCACACCTCAGCTCACCTCTCCTGCCTGGCAGGGAGCAGCCACAGCCTGAAGAACACTCTGCCTGCCTGGGCCACGGTTCCTGCAGGATTTGCAGCAAGCAGCATCTTTCTGCCACCACTGTGAGATATCTGTGTGGCCACCAGGTAGCAGTAACACCCGCACAATATTTTGCAGCAGCCAGGACCTCAGCCTTTGGTTATTTTGTGTCCTCATTCATTTGTTCCTAGGTCTGAACTTGCAGCACTGTGAAGATATGAGAGGGCAGAAGTACCAGCACTGCCATCTCCTAATGGTCTAAAATCAAAATCAAGGTCAAAACAGTCACAGAATTACAATACATAAATTCATGTAAAGGTACTTCTCTTCCACTTTCTGCTTCCATAATTCCTGTTTTCTAAGCTTTTAGGAAGCTACAAATGAGTTGGTGGGTTTTCAGACAGGCTGCTTTAATAATGGTGTGAGTCTGACACAACCTCAGGTTTCCAGGCTCTGGAAATTTAGAATAAAGAGCCTTGTTGTTCATGTCTGAGATCTGGCAATGCTGCTTATTCCTTCTGGTCCCTTTTATCATGCAGCTTGACAGAAATATTTTGCTTGTTATTTTAAAAAATGTGTTTGTTAAAAGTTAATATTTTTTTCTTGTAAAGGCTCATCCATCCTGGTATTACATTAGCGATTCTACTTTGTTCTTCTGTGAAGCAAGTTTCAGTTTACAGGTACATCTGCTTTCCATTCCACAGCTTAAAGAAAGTCGTCAAAAAAAAAAAAAATCTTAAAACCTTCTTAATGAAGCCTTTTAAATGCTCATCCTGCACTTTTGAGTGAAGAGCAATTTATATTTCATAAAAGTAGAAGCTGAGCTGCAAGCTGTAAGTAATTATCATATAATTAAATGTCTACTATGAAAGAAATGAAAACTCAGGCTTCTTGGGAGGCTTCCGTGACTGGTTTATGCAATCACAAATTAAATTACATTTCTTTACCTTATGGATGTTCTGGAGGTACATTAATCTAGTTTGGAGGTGCACCTTGGAGACTGCTAAGCTGTGTTAAAGGGGAAGGGAGTTTATCAAACCAGTGAATTCCATGGGCCAAGAAGAAGAACCCATAAATATCTCTGATGGGTTCAGCAAATGTGATTGTGCTTTTCTTGTCTGGAAATGTCTGCAGCTGATAATGAAGAAAACTCCTATGTGAGCAGCAGTTTAAGCGAACTGCTGTGGTGTTAGAGTGCTGAGTTCAGCGGACATGGTCTCTGCAGGACAGAAACATGGTGCCCATTTTTTGAAAGTGAGGTGGGAGGTTTTTGGTATCAGGAAATTTGGACAGAGGATTAACTCTTCGTGTGTTTAAACCTCCTGTATGCTTAGCTAGGAATCCCCTTCCACCACCCAAAGGACAGTGAATTTGTGGGAGGCACATCTGCTGGAATGCTGAAGGAAGGAGACTCAGTTCTGCCTGTGAACACTTCCTGTCATTTCTCAGGGACCAGCTCTGCTTCTGTCACTGCTCGTGGGAATGACAGATGCACTGAAGAAAATGTCATGGTGAGAAAAGTGATGAAGTAGTAGCACATCAACAGGTGCACTTTGTATTCTTGTATATAGTTGGCATTTTAGATGATACATGGCTCACTTTCACCTGAATGTGGGAAAAGCTGAATTATTTAAAGACAGGAAGCCCTGAGTTGGAGCTGCTCTAATTTAAGGAGCTGCTGCCAAAACAGTCTGTCATGGCTTTATGCAAAAGTGAGGGAAGAATTTTCCTGAACTGATGGAATTAAATAGCAGTTTCTGTATGACTTGGCTTAAAAAACTGGAAGAATGAATGTTGCATCATATTTTTTCAATGTATATAACTTGCACAAAACTCTTTACAACAAAAAGCACTGTTCCAGTCATGGCTGTCTGAGAAGCTCTGGCACTGTGCTGCTAAAGGGGCTTCTCTAAGATCAAATGTCTCTACACCACAAGAATATAATTTTTATCTCTTTGAATGAAGATAAATTTCATGGTGGCTTCAGTGTACAGTACAGTGATAGTTAATAATCTCAATTCACAACTATATGCTGTAGGGTGATGACAATGTAATGGTATTCTTTATGGTGTGTCAAGGGGACATATAATTGGTGTTGGCTTTTCTTTTCCCTCTTTTTCCTAAGGTTAACTACTTTAACCTTGATTTCAGGCTGTATTTTTTTCTCACTGCATTTCTCCATTATACATTATTTGGTTTGGTTACAGTCACTAGACTTTAACTGCTCTGACATATTAATTTTCAAGGGCACAAATGACTTCATTAAAATAATGTTCTTCAGATAAGTGCACTTGGCATTGTGATTGGAAGTGGACTAAAGGAAATATGAAGCATCAACTCCTCTACCCTAAGAATTTATTATGGGAACCAAACCCATGTATTTGAAATGCTTCTTCATTAACTTTTAGAAACTCAGTGTGTAGCCTACATCCATTAATTGGTTAGGAGTTTCTTTTCTAATATGCATTTAGTCAAAGATTTGTTTAATGTTTACAGTCTCAATTATATGGAACACTGCTTTCTTAATATCACAGAGTCATAGAATGGTTTGGTTTGGAAGGGACCTTGAAGATCCCCTGGTCCTATCGCTGCCATGGGCCTTTCCACCAGACCAGGCTGCTCAAAACCCATCCAGCCTGGCCTTGAACACTTCCAGGGATGGGGTGAGCAGCGCTTCTCTGGACAGCCTGGACCTCACCTCCCTCACAGTCCAGAACATCTTCCTAGTTTCTAATTTAAATGCACTCTCTCTCTGGTTTCCCTTCTGCCAGGCCCTTCTCTTCTCTCTGTGCTGGCTGTGAGTGCTGCCAGAGCCCCGGTGTCCCCTGGCCGGTGGGGAGTGGATCCTGCAAAGCTGCCCCAGGGACTGCAGCTCACCTGGGGCTCCCAGAGCATCCTGACAGCTCCTTTTGAGGTGCCCTGAACTGAACAACTCATCCCAGGTGTCTACTAATGCAACTGAAAGCTTTTAGCTGAGTGATAATTTCTGCTTACCCTTCTCCAGGGCTGTCCTTAGCTCTTGGAAGGGCTTTTAGAATTTTTCATTCATCAGCAACTTTGTAGAAGTGCAATGCTTTGAGATAGTAATGGTCCCGTGAGCATGGGGCACGTCCTGACATCCAGCACCGCCCAGCAGTGATTTCACCTCGTGCTGGAGGCCAGGGAGGGCCTGAGCCAGAATTACAGCCTATTTTTCCTGTCTCCCCCAGAGCCTCACAGCACATTTGATGAACACAGTGCACTGCTTTGGGGTGATGAGGCCCTGGCCACTTCCTTCATTTCTTCCAGAGCAGCA